TGCATGTCAGGCACAGGTCCGGGCTTGATTCGTTTTCTCTCGGGCTCGGACGGGTTCAGACAGAGAAATGCAGCTCGAGCCGCACTCGAGTGTCCATTTCACTTACATTTATAAAACATTACAAATCCTGCTCATTTATTAAAACTCTATTTGTTTTTAAACAAAGCTCAAGAAGAACGGAGCTAATTACTTTATAAAAACCGGAATGTTTGTTTAATTAATCTCTGGTAAAATGTTCATATTGTAAAGGCAAATGAGAATAATCAGTACATGCTTTATAAGTGAAATTCCATAATGTTTTTGATTAAACAGCCCAAGCAAAACAACTGAAGGAGCTGACCACAGATTATTTCATAACTGTCATACAACTAGTCTTAAAATAAAATGATCAGGTTAAAAACCTCCACACAGAGTATGAGCTATGTTAAACTGAACAGGAGATTCTACTTGAGCGAGCTAAATGAAGCCCTCTGTCCTCACGGAGCTGCTACGCCTGCCCGAGTGAAACAGGGGTTCCAGGAGTTGTTGACTTTATCTGTTGACTTGGGCATGTCCGCTGCTGTTACTCTGACACTCTACATGCTCTCTAATAAATTCATTAGAGCCAAAGCAAGTACTCGGATTATCGGGTCATGTCAGTGTCTTAACCAGGATTTCTTACTGGCATTAAAAGGGTTGGCTTGCTAAAATGATTTGTCATGCTCATCAGCATGTTTTTCCATAGACGATGACCCTGTTTCTTTGGACAGTCCTTATCCCTGGCTGTGTATCGTCCCAAAAAACAACCCGCTGAACTTCAGGATGGAGAAGAGACAAGAAACCGACTTTACACAAGCAACATATTCACCTTCTTACAATTTGATGGTTTTGATAAAATAAGGTTATGCACTTATTGTGGGCGAAGTGCACTTTTTTTGGGTAGGCAACAGTTGCTCATCATGATGAATGTGCTGAAAGACGGATGAAATTCACATCTGGTTTTTGCTGTTAAAACGTCGTAACCAAAACACAAGAATAAACACATGACTATTTTTGTTTTACCTTTAATCATATGAGAAGCATTTAAATCTACTTCTTTGATTACATACAAATATACTTACATAGTAGGAAATTACCAGCTGGACCTTTGAATGTCAGAATAGCTGCTGAACTATATTCAGAGTGTGGGGAATACTGACGGGAGATATTAACGTGAATTCATCTCCCTGCCTCTGAGCAGATTTCTGTCTGCCATGCAGTGAACCCCCTCCCCAACAAAACACAGAAACTTTCCCATTCAATTCCCTCTCTTCCTGTCCATAACCTCCCCCTAAAATGAGCCCCTTTCAGCTCCCCCAAAAACAGGACTCAGGAAGGGGGAAAGAGGAGGGAGGAGGTGGTGGAAAAGAAGCGTGGTCTGGCTGCTCTGGCTCCTAATCTCTGTGACACATCACAACCTTCAGCCTTTCCTCGTCTCTCCTCCTCCTCCTCTCTCCTCCTCCTCCTCTCTCCTCCTCCTCCTCTCTCCTCCTCCTCCTCTCCCTCCTACTCACTAAGACATACACACTACCTCCCTTGACTTCTCCCTCCGTCGCCTCAGCCCACTTGCAAGAGTTTGCCGCTCTGACATCAGCATGTGTCAGACAGCAAAGCTCTTCATGTTTCTACTACACAGACATAAATAAATAAGACTTTTTTTTTTACTGAACAGAGTACGTACCGCAGAGGGCGGATTCACACCATCATAAAAAAATGACAGAATATTTGGAGTTCACTTGTTGGTGTTTACTTTGTTCCACATGGGTAAAGCTACAGTACACTTCAAGTGCTTGGATGAAACAGCATTGTTTCTTTTTTTATTAAGATGCTCTCTGACATGTCGCTCTGACAACAAAAAACATGGAGCATGGTGATACATCAGTGGACAATTAATTTCTATCAGCATCAGTCTGGGTTAGAGTCTGGCAGACATGTGGAATGTCACTGCTAAAAAGACAAACTGAGGCTTTTATATCTAAGATAATTGTAAATGTCGTCATGTTGTGATTCATGATCTGTTGAAAAACTTTGGTCAGATCAAGATGGGTCATCAGGAAGGGTGTTGTCGTTTTCTTCAGCAAAATAAAAACTAAGACAAAGTTATCTCTTATACAAAACGAGCAAGGACACACTGCATTTTCAAGGAGACCTACATCAATATGCCAATGGTGAGCCTTATGGGTGGCAGGGGTTGTGGATGGGGGTAGTCTATTGTCAATGGGCTGTTTGAATTGACTGAGTATTATGGGGATGGACTGCAAATCAAGCACTAAGCCGTCCCTCAAAGCCGACCCCAGTGTCTGTACAAAATCCACAGAGAGCTGGAATACAAGGGGGATGACAGGGAAGGCAGCGTTTCCCACTGAGGCAGAGAAAGGGAAATAGAGGCCACGACGGCGGGCGGGGTACGGGATGGGGGGGTATGTAAATGTTTTAAAAAGAGCGGGAAACACAGACGCACGAGAAAGAAGGGGGTAGGAAATGGTGACAGAGACTTGCCAAAGAACAAAAGTAAGCAACACAACAAACAAGCAGAAAATATGCTAATATCTGATGTTCTTAAAAAAAACCCTGGAGACGTTCTTCATGAAACCATTAATATTCCCCTTCAGTGTTAATGGACAGAAAAACCCCGTCCACCAGGGCTGCCTTTCATGACAAGCTGACTCATCTCTAGCTAACTCAAATCCCACCTGGTCACCAAGTGTAGTGCGACAGGTGGAGGGTGGGGAGGCCCCCCCCCCGCTGTCCTGAATCTGCCATCTCATTGTCTTCCAGTAAGCTGCATCCTTCACGGTGCCACGTAACCAGGCTCTTACACAGTCGATGTTCTCGGGTTAAACATGTGCTATTCTCACCCCACAGAGGCTACAGGTAACTTTGCTTTGACGGAGCAGACAAACCACTTCCACCCGAATGATGTTTTTTTTTCACCGTCATGCTTCAAACATGCTTTGAGGAGTATCTAGACTTTGTTACCTTTTTGCAGATGTTACCTAAGATAAACAGACAGGCTGCTGGTTAGACATTATTAATTTAACTCATCTCCTCTCAACTATCTTATCTAACTCGCAGCAGGAAAGCAAATTGGAATTTTCCCCAGAATGACAATTGTTCCTGGAAAAGGTCTGAAACCAGCATGACATACCCATAACTTAATTCTGAATGTACGTGTAATAAACTGCTTTATAATAAAATATTTAACTTAGATTATATTTAACTATATGGCCTTTTCCGAAATGCATCATTGGAATCGTCTGACTAGTTTTTTGGACCTTAACCACAATGTAGCATCAAATCAACACTAAAGGGACAAGCTGTTTGTGGACATACCACAGGGTTAGCGCTTAAAATGAATTTGATTTGCTTAAGGCTCTGAAAGCCTTGCACTCATTATAGTCCTAGTGCTAAGCTCCCCAGAGCCATGGTTTCCATGCCACATGTGCTGCTACTTAGATTACTACTGGGGAGAAGGGTAACTGTCCATTTCTGAGCAGGCAAATGCTATTGATTTGCATTTTCTCACGCTGCTCTGCGGGCCATGGCAGACTGATGGAGGGCCTCCTTTTAATCATTCACCCATAAATGGCGCTTACTGGTCGGCCCGTGGTGGTTTGCGATATGGGATTGTGAACAAATATGCACAATACAAAGACCCTGCAGCTAGTGAAGAAACGTCTTCCAAAGTAAAAGCATCAAGCAAACTCCTTAACACACTTAATGTCTGCGTCTGTTTTCATACTGACTGACGAGTTTGAGAGAGATGGTGGAAGCAAAATTGATTCAAGTTCCTCAATTTAAATAGAAATATCGCAAAATATTTCAAATGAAGACAGGTAAAAACTTATCACATGTCATCTAATTCAAAATATACAGTGAGCTTAACACCTGCAACCCAAACTGACACATGGCTCGTTCAGACGGTTTGATATTACTGTAGGGACTCGGTTACTGGGAAAACACCTCGAGATCCCTCACACCACCAACACTGGGAAGTGTCCCAACTGAGCTGAGACACTAATGAAACAGTAGACAGCAGAGAGGGAGCTCTCCTCTTGAGGAGGAGGAGGTTAACGACAAACTCCTGTATCATGTGTCGCTGGCTGATCGACACTACCTGGTATTCATTTATGGTCACATAAGTGGAAAGCTTCCGTTACAGCTGAGACAAAGCCCGGCTGTTCAGACTGTTAAACCGCCACAGAGACAGTTAACTGACCATGAGCTGGGTTGACAACAACAAAAATAAATAAATCCACCGGGACGTGTGGTATTTTAGACGGGAATTTGTGAGGTTACATGAGGTCACTGCTGCAGATAAACATGTTCAAAGCTCAAGCTGAAGCCTCACGGGCTTGACACGCAGCCAGTTTCTCTAAAAACAACAACAGAGGATCCTGTCAAGAACAACACTGCCTACCTACATGCTATTTAAGAGTTGGGGCAACATATTATAGGCACGGATGTGGGAAAATTTGGTTAAATTAGAGTGTAGCTGCTGGGGCCTGCACTGACACTGCACTGCTGCTGCTGCTGCTGCTGCTAAATATGTTGAGGTCAGTCTGGGGTCAGTGGGTGACCAAGGCCTGGGGGCAGTGAAAGGACAGAGGGTTCATCCTCCAACCCAAGTTCTCAGGTGCTGGGTTTGCAACACGAGGATTAAACCCATAAACAAAGAGGAAACCCAGGCTTGGGTTCAGTGTTTAATGGAGCTCACACATCTGGCTGGTGAGGCTGAGGAGTTCACAGCAGCAGCAGTGGAAGTATTTGACTTTTTACGTCCTGACAAGAAGTTGGGTTGAGACTCGTGTGACACTCAGTGAGATCATTTCTACTGTGACTCATGTTGGAGGGAATCAAACTCCCTGGTTGCAGATGGAGACCTCGGGTGGGGGACACATCAGACATGTCTGTGGACAGCAGCCGACACTGTCCCCCGGGAAACATGTGCACACTCACGGAACAACTCGGGAATCATTTACCTGTAGTTCCGATTTCCATTCATGAGGTCTCTGCCCGGTTCACTTCCCGGATCACAGTTGTCAAATGTTCGGGACTCTTCCTCCGTTCAGTCCGGTGTCTCCTCCGGCAGCGCACCGCCTCTGCAGTGCCCCGCTCTCGGTTAGCTTCCCCCTCCTCCTCCTCCTCCTCCCTTGCGGGCTGTCAAACCGGCGGAGCCCCCCCTTCTCTTCGGTACGGTGGGTTTCGTTTCGCCGGCCCGGGGAGTCGTTCCGTTCCGCGTCCCCGGACACGGTCAACGTTTCCAGTCGGGGTTCAGTGCCACGGCGGAGGAGCTGCTGGCTCCTCGACGCGACGCTGTGGCAGTTGCTAGTTAGCCAAGTTAGCTCGCTAGCCGGGCTGTGGAGGAAAGTAGCTGGAGCGGACGAGAGGAGCCGTCAGGAGATCATCACCGCGGGGGTCACAGAGTCCAAATCAATCGCTACACACATCCGAACACGGGCCACGTTAATCCGTGTCTGCGGCGCGGCGAGCGTCCCGGAGGGCTGGCTACGGCTCTTAGCTAGCTCGGCTGGGATAGTTGGAATTCTGACAGACGACGGCGACTTTTTCTCGGGTTGAAAACAGCCGCTGACTCGGCCCCCCCCCCTGCTCTCCGAGCACCGAGGCCCCCGCGACGTCGTCCCGTGCGGTTCGCGTCCCGCAGCCGAAATCGAGCTGTCAGCGCCGGGTTGTATCCGCCGACACGTCTCGGGCTTCTCGGTCCGGGTTGACAGATCAACTCTGCTGGGCTTCGGCGAACCAGCTAAATATGGTGAAGTTGCCTCCTGACACCGACAGGAAGAGGTGGGCTCACTGTCAGGACGTCAGAACAAACTACTCCGCCTTCAGTGAAACCCTCGGTTCGCTCCTCGGTGAATATATGAATTATAATTATACGTTTTCAACTTGGTGTCACCACGATCTCTGGATTATCACGATCTGGTTCGAACCCGGGAGTTTCAGGGGGGGATCTGTCATCTGCTTTGATGTCAAATTGTTTCCTGATCTGGATTCAGTTTTTTAAAGATTCTTAGAGAAAGATTTTTTGAATTGAAACCAAAGTAATCAAATGATGACAACTGCCCAGGAGCCACACGAGTATGAGATCAGTAAAATATTGAGATTATTATCAACCAGAACATGTTTTTCATTATTCCTCCAGACACTGATCTAGTCCAACCTGGAACTTACATATATTTAAAATGTCTCATTATATTACACATATTTCTATCTGTTTACTCTACCATAGGAACATTACACTTTTTTATATATGGTTTATGTTCAACCATTTAAGTTTGGGGAACATGTCATCTGTTTATGTCTTGTTCCGACTGAGCGGAGTCCAAGTAATGAAATGATGACAACTGACCAGGGGTCTGCATAAAACCATGAAAATGTTGAGTTTACCCGAGTGTTTCTCTAGGTACTCAGAAACAATTTAGTCCTCTAGCAAAGAGGCACATTTTTACATTTTTGTTTTATTTGTTTTACTTTATTACCTCCACTGAGTGTGTATTTTTAATATTCCCTCTCTGTTGCTTTAATGTGGTAAACTTCTTCTCTTATGTTATTGTATCTCTGGATTTTTGTCAATTTTGCTTATAGAATTAAGGACTAAGCTGATTCGTGTCAATGATTTCTGTGCTCGGCAACAGAACGGGCACGTTTCTGTAGGGAGGGTCCGTAAAGGCACAATAAACATCCGTGTATGATGATCTGGACAAGAAGTAAACAAGTTCATGGTTAAAGGTATTAAAAAAACACACAGGAGTAATAAAAAACAATTTTATTTTCTTTAAAAAATAACCCTCCCCAACAGAGTTCCCATACTATCACATACAGAGCCAAAATAATATGCTTCTGCATCCTTTCATTCAAATCTACTGGGAAGTGCTATGACAAGAACTGTTGTTGATCAGTGGCTTCAATATTGCTTCGTCAGACAGTGAGGCTGTGTGGAGAAAGTGGACTCTCCGGTGTCCACATGATGCATTTCCAGGGTGACTGCCATTTGGTCTCCCCCTTTGCAAGGTGCTTTGTGGCTTCAGTGACTGAAGAACTGCATCTGGTTTCAGTGGTGCTGGGAAAATGCCCCCAGACTGAATTCTTTTTGTATCTTTTTTTAAGCACAGAATGAGGGGTAGAACACTGGCCCCAACTGTGAAAGGCCCGGCAACTGGTGAGCCAAAATACAGGACAGGTTAATATTATATATTTATATATACAAATCACCCCGGACACAATGAAGGATCAGTAAAACGGTGTACAAAGGCATTTTGATTATTTAAGTTCATAAACATGTTTTAAAAATCAAACTCATCTGATCTCTCATCTTTTGATCCCTTTCAGCTCAAAGGGGCTCTGACCATCAGACAAGATTTGAGGCGCTTAAAGGGCAACTGAGGTGGAATTTTGAGACCGTCTCCACAGTGCCCTCTCGAGGATACACTCTGACACTAGTCACAATATTCATCATCATAATAATAATAATAATCATAATGAAAGAAAAAGCAGTTTTTATAACCATTACACAATCGAGGCAAAACAACTGACAGGCAGTGGTGAGCACGTGGCTCCTACCTCTAAGAAAACCCAAATAAGGTGGCTCAGAATATCCAGTCGAAGAATAATTACATGCATTTTTTTTTAATTAATCCAGAAAGTGACGAGATGTAAAGGCAGGGCGTATTAAGAATCATTAATATTTGCCTACCCTGTCCAATGTAGCAATCCCATATCTGTGTCGCCCATGCACACAGAGCACCAATGGGGATTGGCGAACACAAGCTAAGGGATTGGGGCAGGGGATGCTTCAGGTTAAAAGTGAAAGTTAGAAGACGAGGTGATGATGGAAAAGGTGACAAGTGACAGTTTGGCTTGGAGGGAAATAAGGGGACAAGTGCATTTGAAGAGGTTGGTCTCTACATGCTGAGAGAGAGACTGAGAGGGCGGGGGGGGTGTGCTTCTGCTATTCAGGCTGTGAGTTGTAAATGCCTGCAGAGGAAAAGAGCTTTGTATAAAAATGGGACATGTGCAGGATGCTGTGTACAGGTACGCAAAGATGTGCGTGGGTGGAATCTGGCGTCATCTGCACTGATCCGTGTGGGAATGTGCAGAATGATCGGAGCAAGGTCAGTTGCTGAATGAGAGTTCAGCTTTGCAGCACTTAAGTGATCATAGACTTCACACTGAATTTGCCTGTTATCAAATGTACAGAGAGGTGTTGCCTATTGCCTTAGTTACCTATTTGTTCTGAAAGCTGTGCGAGTGGGAAAACTTCAACCTAGTGTGTGTGTGTGTCAACCCTCAGTACAAACAAGTCTCACCATTTCGAAGTAAAAAAACAAAACAATAAGTAAATAAAAAGTGCCTCATATATCGTAAAAGACAGAAATAAAAGATTCTCTTCCTGTTTAAGTGCCCCTTTTCCATTGGTTGGCATCACTTTTGGCTGGTTAATAATGCTGGTTTAGGTGCATGGGGTGCAAGTATATTGGATACACTCTATGCAAATGGTCCCTCTACTGTTATGCTAAGGTTGCCGCTATAGGCTAAATCTCTAAGGGACTGGCTAACCAGCACAGAGTGCACGGCAGGACTTTTCTCCTGTGTCTACGATATGCTACACCTGCTCTGTCTGCCTCTGCTAATGTGAAGACCAGAGGGCTAGCCTCACATCTACTAACAAACTCTTATGTGCAGGACTGGTGGCACCTACATGCTAACACTAAGTGCTAATGTACCATACCTCACACTCCTCAAGGTAGTTTAAAAGAAATAACATTATTCAAAAAACATAAAAAACATGAATGTAGTTCATGGCAACGTTAAAATGATACATGTAAGTGTGCGTGCCCAGTACCACCCCTCTGGAGGATCCCCATACTAAGGGGCTTGGAACACTGGTATCCCGCGTTCGGATGGTAAAGAGGCAGCATTGTGGTGGCAGTTTAAAAAGTGTTTTTCTTTTTATCGCCTATTTTCCTCCCATCCGTATTGCATACTTAAATACATAGGAGTGTGAAGGTAGCGTACAATACAATTACATAATAATACCCACGTTTTAAAAATTCAACATAAAAAGAGCAATAGAGTCCTGGAAAAGTAAAAAGAGAACAAAATGACAATAATAATATTCATAACCTTTTGAGTGCATGAGGCTGTTGAGTCTGCCTGTGTTTTACAGGTGAAGGGCTTTACGTTTCTTGGATTTGGGTGATTGACTGTCAGGTCTGTGGAGTGTGTGTGTGGTGGGCAGTCATTGGGAATAAGGGATGGGGATGAGGTGACGGTGGGCCGTCTGCCCACTCAGGTAGAAATGAGGTGGGAGGGGTTGATAGTTGTGATGGTGTGTGTATCTCAGGCAAAGTACATGGTCCTCAGGGTGTCGTGGTGAATCTGAACAGCCTTAGCCAGCGCCTGTGGGTCCCGACCGTTACTCTGACCAGACACGTGGCTGCCCTCGCCACTGCAGAGACGACAGGGAAAGCAAATACAAAAGATCAGCTACTCTTCATGTGAGAATATTGAAATAAAGTCACCGATGACACATGGTTCAAAACAGTTTACTTCATAAACAGGCAGTGTAGTAGAATAAATGTACTTTCGTCGTTAGAATTCTGGGAACCAAATATGGGATCACAATGCTTTCAAAGAGTGAGAAACCTTTACAAGTTTCACACCCACACTAACCTGTCATGTTCTTTGTCCACCAGATGGTAGCGGGCACGGAAGGCCACAAGACGAGCATAGTAGGCTGGAGCAGGGATGGACACTGAGCGGGTACAACGCACATATGTGTGGCACAACTGGTAGGTTAGAATCTGCAACTCATCAGCCGTGAAACGATTGTCGTCCCAAAGGACGTAGTAATGAGACGGTCGGCTGGTACCCTAGAGACAGACAGAGAAGGGATATGATGTGTGGTATTTGGAGTCAAGGGTATTCGTCTTATTGTCTAATCAGGGAATTTAAAAATGCAATTACCCACGAGCAGGAAGGCATTTTGTTTCTGTTATTACCTGTATGCCTGCATGGCTGCACAGGTAGAAGTCAAACTCAAAGGGATGAGTGATGTTGGTGTCCACTGTCGTCCCTGCAGGAATATTCCCACTTTTCCCAATCTATCAAAAGAAGAGGCAGGGTTAGAATTACCAAGTAAAAGAAAACAGATTTGTTTTATAAGTACAAATTGTTTCAGTAATAAAAGACTCACTCTTTCAGACTTGTCAGCACAGAAGAGTCGTGTGTGATGGCGTTTCTGCACCACAATGTAGGTGATGCCTGGCTGATAGTCTTTCTCCAGCTTGATGCAGGCGTCTCTGATGGCCAGGAGCTCGTAATGGAGAATCTATACAAGAGAGTTCCTTATTAGCACTTATGGATATGGTGTTTAATACGGCAGCTATTAAAAACAAAATAATAAAAAAACATCCCATCTCACATACCTGCGGCAACTGTCCCTCAGGAACGCCATCTCTGTAGAAAATGATCCTGGTGGGCTTGAAGCGAGTCGACTTGTAGAACTGAATTAGCAGCTCTCGCACCATGTAAGACAAGTCTTCAATGATCTCCTGTCTGGGTCTCTGGACTCGCACTGTGGCACAGTATCTGCTGGGATGAGCATCCATACTGCCTACCACCTGGGAGAGAGAGGAACAAGGCATAGTCAGGATTAGTGATAAGAGTCGTACTAATGACATATAGACAAACATCTGTGCCACTGGACACAATGAGGTGGTTTGTTCTCCAAATAAACCCACAGGCTCTGTCACACAAAATAAAAACGACATTAAAAAGAAATATGCTGCTGAGAAAAAACAAAAAACGAAAATGAAATATAGTTATCATAATAATAATTAGGTGTGGATTTAGAGCATTTTAAGTGGGAAGGTCTAACTGCACTCTCTCAGTTTTACCATTTGTTTTTCTTAATATGTATTTTTGTATGTTAGCTTCCCCTAGAGGCTTCGAGCAGAAAGTGTGGCAGGCTCAGCATCGACCTTTTCGTTTTCTTCCTTCAAATCTCTCCTCAATCATCTACAATCACCACTTTTCACCGGTTTTCTCCTCAGTCAGGAGGATCGAGACAGACCCTCTCCTCTCTGCCGGTTCCTCTCCGCCGCGTGACTCAAGCGTTTGTCATAATTGCTAGGCAACAACACAGCCAACCACAGCTGAGCTGAGGTCAAGAGCAGACGAGGGTTGACGTCATTTCCTTTCTGAACGCGAGTCAGTGATGAGCTCACCTACTCCTCTCTTATTTCTTTTTTCTTTTGTTCAGCCTCATTTATTGTGTACTAAACAAAACTTAAATACAGACGTTTGTAATGATGCAGACTCTCAAAGCATGACGCTGTTGGGGCCTTGAGCACTAATTTAATTTATCAGACAAAGTGTAAGTTGGTGTTTTGAAATGTTGATCATGCAAAACATTTCTACAGCTCTAAAATATGTGTTGTGTTATGAAAAGCCTGTAATACCTAATAGACCTGTAAATTACGACTAAATCTAATGATGGTTTAATGAAAATCTCAAACTGAATCACCAGTGCCCGAGGTGATGAATTCCTCCACAGTCAACATCCATATTACTGTTGGTCCATTTCTATTGTACATTCATGTTAACAGTGAAACCATAAACAGGCTATATTAATATGTGAGCTAAATCTGATAAGAGATTAAGGATGTTAAAGCTCTTCTGTCTCAAACATTATTTATTTCTTGATAGGATTCTTCTCTACCAGCGCTGCTGTGCGCCATGGTCACCCAGTGCCACTGTTACCAAGCAACCTAAACCAACCATGTGTGTTTGTTTTCCTACGACATCCTGAGGTCATTTGCATAATTTACATCTCCTTGATGCAGTTTTTTTTTTATATGGCTATGAAAGTAGTGCTGAATCCAGCCACACTTAACTATCACTTTCAATGATTCGCTTCTGAATATGTAAAACAAGTCTTTTATGGCTCAGACCAAGGTTCAAATCCAGATCATAAAGGCAACTATTCCCCAGATATACATTTAGATTCGATGTCATCTGTGTGTCGCAGCTGACTGAGCTTCTGTGTCCTTCAGACACAGAAGCTGTGGACCGAACGTGGAGGATATTCATGTTGATCAATTCTGCGACATGAATACATTCATTACTTTAACTTGCTGGTTGATCTAAGTTGCAGCCAAAAGCATTAAGGTACTGGTGTTAAAAAGACGACTGTATTTCAGTTTTCATCTACAACCATTATGGGAATCGGAGCCCCAGAATTACTTACACTTCCCAATAATTGATGATAAGGTAATAATGTAGATAACCATTATTAGAGCATGGAGGAACTAGCATTAAGTTCATGTTAAAAATGATCATTTTAAATAATTAAGACCTAAGCAAGTCATATTTGAACATATTTAAGACTTTAAAGACTTTCAGTGCAGCAAGCCCTAAACTAAAGGTTCCTGTATTTTCATAAGCAGGTACTTTTTTTGAGGGGGGGGGGGTTAAAAAGATTTCCTGGGACTTATTTAAGACCCTGGTCCCTGCAGTGGCAATGCAGCATATTTAAAATGTGTCTCACTCTGTCCATTCAAATCTGTTGTACTTCTACAGCCAATGATCTATAAATACTACCGTCACAGGAAGTAATTACACAATCTATCGTTGCATCTAACAATTAATTTCACTTTTACAAGCATTATCTTTCGATTGATCAGTCATCGTTTAGACGTTAAATAAGAAGGAATCATAAGAAATGCCCTTCAGAAGTCACCAGAACAAAAACACGTCACCACCCCCACCTAAGCCTTAAACATGCACACCCACATTTGACAAATGGCCTCGGTCTTTGTAACGCACGATAGTTCGTTCCCCTCCTTTTCCTGAGATTGTGTTCAAGGTAAACTGGTGTAGTTAAATGAAGGCGTTATTTCGGAGACTTACAGCAGTAATGGAGGGCTTCTTGCCATCTCCAGCCGGGGGGTGCGTGACGTCTGCTCCCAGGAAGATAACCGGCTGCTGGAACACTGCTGACCTGTGAGTACAAATGGAGGAGGAGATGCGATTTACATTTGCTCATAAAGACAGTGCAGGGTAGTTATATTGTCATCCCAGGCTGAGAGCTGAGACGGGTAAATTCACTTCATCCAGTGGAACACCTGGGGCTTTCACTTGAATTGTTAAGAGCGGTTGTTGTTCATGGACGCCGGTTATAGAAAAGTGACACATCTAAAGCGTTATTTAAAAATGACCTGTACAACATGAAGGGTATGACAGGAATATATATATGGTCAAATAACTGTTGTACGTGACAGTTTCATGTCATCGAGGTTATCACAGCTGTTCTCCAGCTAAATAAATGTTTGCAACAAATTCAGAAGAAGCCAAACAGCTTCTCACCGTTGATGAGGCACCAGGATGTTGTTGATGCCTCCCAGCTTCACGTTGATCTTGAGGCAGAGGTTGGAGAGGGTCTGAGGGGACGTCTTCACCACGTTCTTCACCTGAACACACTGGGTGGCCATGCCAAGGAGGGTGTCTCCCACACGCTTCACCTCCGCTACAAAAGAAAAACAAGAAAAACAATGATGCTAAAGAGCAGAAGAAGCGTTTAGTGAAGTCAGCTTCCCAATTATCTGTCTTGCTGTTTCCTTATGTGTATTTTCTGAAAGCGAAGTATGTCTTTAGATGGTTTGATGAGTATCATACTCACTTTATTTTTTCATTACCTAATTATTTGTATCGAATGTAAAATAAGATAGAATACCATAGACCGGAGTTTTTCCTGGCAGGATGACGATGATGAGCTGTAGACCAGAGTAGGTGTTCTTCAGGTGTCTGAACATGGGCTCCACGCTGTCGGCTCCCTGGGCGTATTTACAGAAGCATGGCTGGCCCTGAATTGGCATCCCAGCATCCTTGGAGATCTTACGCAGCTGGTCTGTGAAGTTCCTGGGAGGAGACCAGAGTAGTTTATTTAGCTATGCAAGCTAAAGTTAGTTCAGGTTTTTAATGCTGAACTGTTCAATATCTGTTGTCTTACACAGTCAGAGTGATCATGTCCACAGTTTTTGATGTCTCTGTCCTAAAGTCTTAAAATCTCTTTTTGGAATAGAAATGTACTTTTAAAGAACGAAGGAACCTAAATTTGCAGAATTTACATTTACAGTTACAATTTAAAAGTGGACCTAATTTACTATGATCAAATACAAGTCAGTCAGAAACGTTTTAGGACATTTAATTTAATTCCCCTTCACAGAATGAAACCTCACTGCTCCCGCTCATTAGTTCTTACTTGAGCACCTCCTCTCTGCACTGTTTCTGGGGGGCAAAGCAGGCAATCGCCCACACTTTGATCTCAATGCCGTTGTAAAACTGCTTTCCTCTCATGTCCCACACTCCCTGGTTGGGGGTAGCTATGGCACGATTCTGTTCAAAAGACACAGAGAGAAAATCAGGTCAGAGCTACAGCAAACACACTTTTGAGAGATTACTTTTAACTCAAAAATTGATCTTTTAAGCTGACAAATGATTAATTATTTTACCCGTCCTCCATACTGCAGGATTGGGGCCGGGAGCACTCTGCCCGTCACTTCAGCCATGTCATCTTTCACCTTGATCCCAAACTCCTGGATGTACGGGTCCAGGTTGAAGTTGGCGTTCTTCATCTGTGGAGAGAGAAAGTCATCGTTCATATCTTGTTGCCTTTGTGACTTAAACACTAAATATTACTCATTTAAATTATTTCTATGCAACTCACCAGCCGGCTGATCTCCTCTTGTCTGTCGGGTGCGGAGCGAGCTGTGGCTTTGATCATAGTGGAGGTCTGATTATCTGTCAGCTTCTTAATGCATCGTTGACCTGCTACAATGTTACACACCTGGAACATGTAAATCTCAATTCAGTGGGGTGTAAGCATTGGTTATTTACGTGCACTAATGCTGCTACTGAAGATTACATATGAGCACAAGACGGTTGGTTAAATGTTTGAACGGCAGAAATGTAATCGTCCTTGAACTTCCTCACCTCCAGGGGCAGGTAGGTGTGCTTCTGCTCCTGGCCCACCTGTAGACAGGGTAGGTGGGGGTACTTAAGCTGCAGATTGTACTTCTGCTTGAAGTACTGGGCCACTGTACATTCTACTGTCTGCCCACTTTCAAGTTGGAGGGGAAACCTGTCAAAAAGACAGAGAAACATTAATTATTATCTGTCCAGAAAAAAGGACAAGTACACACGTTTTCAGACTCCAAAACTAATAAATTAAAAATGTCTTTTCAGGACATGAGCGTCAGTCAAGCTTGCAGTTTTTGTATTCACAAAAGAATCTGTTATTAATGTAATAAACTGTAACTTAATGCCGTCTGTTGACTTACGTCTGATGGCTGGCAGGACGTCGGGTGACATTGCATACACGATATTTTCTCTTCATTTGGCCGCAGTGGGTCACCTCCACCTTCAAGCCTGCCAACACCAAGCCGGGTACACAAGAATTAACTCATAGTGACAAAGGAAGACACATGAAATTGTTAGAAGCAAAGGAATCATCACACTCACAAATGCAAACATAATGACAGCGTTTTCATGTGCCAAGTGTAAATTAAGTAAATATGCTTTGATTAGCGACATCTGTGTGAAAAATATTTTCAGTGTCTGGGACTTTCATCCTCTCCAGCAATGCACCTTTAATCTCCTTTGTGAACCGAACCCTTTGTGAGTCAGTGAGAGTCTTGGGCTGCTCGTCGATGTTGCGAATGTCCAAAACCTCACACATGAACTCAATTACAGGCTGGGCTTTATAGAAGGCCGTGGCAGACACTAGAGGGAGACAGAGAACACCAATAAATCCAGTGAAGATGAGAAACCTGACAGAAGGTGCATGGATGTCCACACCTTTAATCTGTATAATCCCAAAACTTGAATAGAGTCTAATGTTACGAGCAGCTATTACAAAGGTGAGTAACAAACATTTCACATCTGCTTTGTGTTAAATTTTACTTTTCAGCATTTCTGTGCCACTGTTCCTGTCTAGTCATGCAATGTCAGGAAACAAATCCCACATTGAGATCACCGAGTGACTTCACACGCTCTGGTGAGCTTGTCTTCAGTGACTCACCATCAATGTTAAGCATCATCTTCCACATGGCGGGGCGCACAGACTGGTGGAAGCCAAACCAGACTTCCCTCCCCCCGCCCAGTGGGTGGTAGTATCCTTCAGGTGGGGAGAAAAATGAACGGCCCACTGGAGTGTACCTAATTAGAGGAGGTAGAGGGGAGAAAGTGAAAATAATGAACACACAGAATGACCTCACTGAATTAATACACTGACTTGTGTTGAGTAAAGCTTATGTCTCATGTAGGAGGTGTCAGAATAAGTGATCTCTTGGTAACCATTAAAAAAAACAAGAAGACCTGAATGGAAAATACTAAAATTGGACTAAAAAACAGAGCTTTGTTAATCAAATATGTGTGGTTGGAGGAGAAACAGGCAAAAAAAGAAACATCTGTGAATTAGCTGTTTTCCTTTTTGACCAGCATCTTTTGTTTAGTGACTGGACCCCTGGAGCTAAGATGGTCTGATGCAATCCAGTTAACCTCTTCATAAACATGACTATTCCAGTCATGGTCTGTATTTATATACTTTTCTAGTCTTGATACCACCTCACAGTACAGCTGTTTGCCATTCACACACACACATTCATACAATGCATCTATCTATCCAATTTTTTTTTACCTCATAGAGGCCAGGTGGCGCATGGCCACGTCCAGGGCTTGAACTGAGTCGAGGGGGACCTGCAGGCGGCCACTGACCAGAGTCTCTTGCAGCAGGCGCCATGACACCTTGGCCAGCCAACGGATGGACACCTTGAAAATTCGGTCCTTACCCTCGCCTGGGATGGTCACCTCAAAATCCACCTGGAGAGACAGAGGACAAACAGAGAGAAGCGATGAAGAACAAAAACTGCAGGAGAACAGGAACATGGGTAAAATAAAAAACATCTGGCTGTGTGGTTTAATGCAAATTATTACTCAAAAGGGCGAAGGCAGCTTTTAGCCTGGTTACCTGTTACTGACATGACAACAACCCACAAGCCAACATGAGTTTTCCCCTCACACCTAATGAGTTCCTCTCTATGACTATATGTCATTGTACCTGTGTTTGTCATGCTGCGATTCATGTTACAAATACAAATGTGTAAAGATAACAAGTTGCCGTTTTAAAGGGGATAATGTGCCTTCATATATCTTCTCAAAGTCATTTCCAGTGTCTTTGCTAACCTGAGCTAACTGGCTACTGTCTGTGGCACTTTGATTACTAGACAGATATAAAGGTGGCATACATCTTCTTGACTTAATCTCTGCAAGGTAGCAAATAAAGGTATTCCCATGAGCTTACATCTTAAAAATATATATTAAAAATATATCTTTAAGATTACAGATAACAGAAAGCAGTCCTCTTATTGAGTTTCTTTTCTTTTAGTCTCAAACCAGATAGTAGGAGTTTTGTCTTTAAACGGTCGACATATGGGCTCTGCAGGAAATGTCAAACAGTAAATTGTGCATGCTATTCACTTCCTCCACAAGAGAAACTCTAATTCTTGTCCAAACTGGGCTTGAGAGAGAACTTATTGATCCCTGAGGGGAGATTTGTAGGTGATTTGTAGGTTGGGTTATTGTGTGTTGTAGCATTGTTCAACAAAGCTCCTGCAAACACTCACCTTCTCACTCCCGATTGGAAGTGCTAGCACCGTGTAGATGTTCTTCTTGCCGTCATACACCGGCTTCCTGTCGCCAAACAACTGGGGCTTGAAGTGTTGCACCATGTACTCCACCACCTCCCTGTAGGAGAAAAAAACAACAACACAATACTCTGTCAATGAAACCCATGGCCTGATCAAGATGCTCTATTGTGATCGGGTGAGAGGGGGGCAGTTCTTCAGATGACAGAATATTGATCGAGGAGGGTACCGCTGGTGGGTGCAATATTTCATGGTCATGGGGGGAAGGCAAGGACAAAGGGAGAGAGGGTGTGGGTGGTGGGCCACCTTTCAGCGTACGGTGCCTTGGCCTTCAAATGAGCGTGGGGGATGAGGAGTCGCTCTGAAAAGAGAAAGGTCAAAGGGCTCGACCTTTGCATGCCTTCTTGGACCTTTTGTCTAAAGCCAAAAGAAACTGAAGCTCAAAGACCCTCTCTGAATGTGAGAAAATGGTTCCAACACATGCACATTTCAGAGATTCGTCTTTCAAATTTCAAGTTCTCTGAGGCAGGTTTAATAACAAATACAAGATTGTGGATATGCTTCACTTGTTTCTGTTCACAAACTTGGCAATTAGGAAAAGAGTGAAGCTCATGGACTCTCCCCGAGGGATCTCTGGACAATCGCCGCTGAGATCTGCAAGGATTTCTACAACAGATTGTTTGAGGACACAAAGGGTCAAGGCTGTTTTAGCAGACAAAAATTTATTATGTTAAGTTGTTTCTTTCAGAGTTTGGGTAATTCATTTCACTTGAGGAAACACGCAAAAAGAGATTCCACAAGTAATTTATTAAAACTGCCCACGTCTTCTCATAAACATCTGGCTTCAAATATCCAGATGCCACTGATACAGATGTACCTTTGTAATAAAAGTGTATAAATCCTAACTTCACACAAAAGGCGACAGTAGAAACTAAAAAACAATCATATCTTGTTGAAACCCAGTTCACAATCACAAGACACTACAATTTCAGTTTGGAATCAAATGCAGGTTAAGATAAGTGAAAGACGACAGTCACGCCTTCGTGAAAAGTGGAGTTCTCCACAATCAAATATGATGAAACATCCACTCTGTGGCATGTCGCCCCCAAAGGCAGACGAGACAGTCTCTCTTTTTTTTTCACCTGAAGAGGAATGGGCTTTCTGGAGAGCCATGACCAAAGCCATCAAAGCAAACTGCACAACTCATCCCCCTCTGAATGTTGTAGGTTATGTTTATGTGCAGTTTTCTGCCTGGATTAAAGTAATAAATGTGACAAATCATAGTAATGACAGCTCTTTTTTGTTTTTAAATTTGTAACAGCTGAGAAATTGAATGGGAAAAGTGATGGAAGAGCTCTGTACAGATTCATGGAGTTTCCTCACATTACTTTTTGCTCTTCAAGGTGTGAACTAGAGTCCTACTTTGTTTGATTTACACAGAAGATTAATCTTCCATATTGCGCAGAGTACTGTAACGCAATACCACTTAAATTATGTGCAGCAGGTCACAAGGTTCAGGATCTGAGCAAGTTACTTCTACTGATACTGCACCCCAATCCATGTGTTTTCCTACATATGAGTAATAAATGAGTATCAATCCTCTATTTAAGAGCTCTACTTTTTTATTTCCCCAAAACATGGCAAGCAACCCGAAAAAACGAATAAATCATCTTTACAAAGAATGACACCATATATAAATCCCTGCTGAATTTCACTTCATGTAGATGGCGGCTGTGGCTGCCGCCTCCTGAAAGACTGACACCACAGTGATTACAAGTGGCCGTTGGGCTTTCATTATCCAATTTCCAACAAAGCAGATATTTCAGTTGCTTGTTGACTTCTTAAAATTCATGCTTTGCTGCCACACAGTAATAACAGCTTATGACAAATAGGAACTGACACATTCTGATTTTTTCAGATTAATGTGGGACATCACAGACAGAAAACACAAGACAAAGCATGACTGTGACTTTCCATTACCTGTTGACTCGTCGTGGGCACTTGTCGGGCTTAATGTCCACCTCATAGTGGTAGACGTCCATCTTTGGGATCTCAACCTCAAAATAGTTGGCCAGCAGCTTGATGGGCTTGCCCACGGTGCCCATTCCTGGCCGGCGGGGGGCATGGAACACCTGCTGCAGGGGTGGGGGGAAGACCCCCATGGGCACTGGACAGCCAGAGGATAGGGGGCCATCGGCAAGGACAGGTAGAAGAGGGGAGGAAGTTCAAAACAATGGTGGCAGGAATGAGGAAAGTGGTTGTGCACAAAAGCAACAGCAAGTGCAGGAAAAAGAACGAGTCGAAGCAGAGGAAGGATATTGGCAAAGCACGCACACAAGAGATGAAGAGCGGTTGAGCATGAGAGGGCAAAGGAGGTGATGTGAACATCAGCGACAGGAAAAAGAGGATGAGAAATGTGGGCAAAAGTCGAGAGGAAGCGTGGGCAGGGGCCAGGAGGACATGACAGATGGACATGAAAGCAAGTGGCAGTAACAGACGGAACAGGGAGAGGAAAGATAGGAAAGTGTGCATTTGGGGCCGGGGAGAGGGGGAGAGGAAGATAGATGTGTTGAAGTTAGATAAGGGGTGATGGAGGAGAAGATTGGCGAAGCAAAACAGAGGAAGAACGAGCAGATTTGGTCAAATGAGGATGGACAAGGGGTGGGGGTGGGGGGTGGGGCATAAAAAAATAATTAGAAAAATGCTTTTTTACATATTATTAACAGATTTTCATTCATAGTAATTCAAAGTGATCAAAAGATATGTATGTTCCACGTGTTTGTTTCAAACATGTCCGGCTAAATCTTAAAAGTGATTTTAGCAGATTTGATCCCTCGAGTCCAATTAATCTATCAAACAAATTTCAGTTTTGTTGTAGCAGCTGTAGAAGTTATAAATATTGGCTAGTCCCAGTATTAAAAAATTAGGCTATTCTCAAATTAATATCTTTGGGTTTTGAACTGTTAGTTTGAAAAAAACAATATGCTGAGGGAATCATGACGGGGTTCTGGGAATGCACAACTACATTTTCAACTATTTCTTTTTTTTCCATAATCTATAAACCAATTGACTATCGGTGCCTATAGTGTCATGCCTCAAAAACAGTCTGGGTGCTAGATGTGAGGCTAGCTGTGACTCCTGCCTGAGAGGGGCCCAGTGCCTTAACCTCTGGGTCCCCAGAGAACAGCCCTCCTCCACCACAACAAAGACCCCAGCTGCCCTGCTCCTCTGTCTCACACTCACACACAAATATGGGTGTGTGACAGAGGGAGCGCCCTCGCCACGGTGAACACACACTGACACACACAAATACAGGGGGCCCCCCTCTACATTCCCAGCCTCACCATGGAGACACCACGGCAACACGGTATTGTCATGGATATCAGGGGACCTGTGTGTGTGTGTGAGTGTGTGTGTGTAGGGCTGTTGCAGAAGACGGGAGGAGGCAGGGTAACGCTGTGGTCATGATGAAGAGACCTTGGCCTTTTTGGTCCTAAACTGAGCACGTTCCCACATCGTGCAAAGGCGCCTGGGTATCCCAAACTGAAATAGCCCTGCTTTAAATAGCTGCTATGGAAATCCCTGGGTCAGACACACCACTCTATCACATGGATGCTAATCCTTCAGAAAAAGTCGAATTGACAGGAAGAGTAACAGAAGCCAGAAAAACACAGAGAGATGCTCTGTGTCTGTGTAGAATCACACATCTGAGGAACATATTAAACACAGACACTGGACATGTGTGGACCACATACTCTGTGCAAGAAAGCCTGTATGCGTGTGAATATGTCAGCGCGCAGAGTGCCATGCAATCGTTTGCACTCTCACACACAATGACACACACTTCACGCTCGTGCCAGTGAAGGCAGATGGTGAGAAGTAGCGCCAGCGCTCTCACATATCCCGAGACAATAGAAGTCTTTCCAAGGCGGTAAGACTTAAATCAGAGCTCTGGTGCTGCATCACAACACGAACGATCACGACACTCACTATTTACTGACTTTACAATTGCGTAACGTGTAATAAGCCCAAATTTCATGGGAATGACTTAGTTAATATTTTATCTGGAGGGTTACGGATTATTTTCGTGTACTTTCTTGTATTTTGGTTCAGTAACAGCCAATTGGCAATGTTGATTTATGATCTTTTTGTCAGCTTTACAACAAATTTTGAATAATTTCCAAAAGACAGTATGAGAACTATTTTGTACATTCTGATTCCAGTATGAAACTTGTAAAGATTCAATTCTGACTGACAGTAACAGCCGATCTCAAGTGTGGCTCATGCTTGAGGATGAGTACTTCTGGGCTCAAATTTATGAACACATTGAAACTCATTGAAAAAAAAATCTATCAAACTGAAAGGACCATTTACAATTTTAAATACTGAGCAGCTTCAATATTTACTCAGAGACTCAATCGCTCATTACGAGATCACAACAGGTCAAGTACATGAAAGAGAAGGAACAACCAATTATGCATCAATTGTTTTCGGCCAAACTAGTTGGCTCTCTGTGTACTTGGCTGTTGATCATGAGCTAGACATGGCAATCAGCTCAATCTTGGAAAACAGCCCATTGAATCATCACACTTTAAACACTACAGCAGCACTAGAGGTGTCCCAGGGGCCCTTCCCCACCAATCTTTAAAAAATAAATCAAACCTATTCAACTGAGTTCAATCTGTTACGACAATGTGATTTAGATCTGAGAGTAACTTGTGCAAATATAGACAACTTGGAAATATTCAGAGTTCAGAACATCTGCATGCAACATATAAACTCTTAAACACATAAGGCCAAGGTCCAAGATCTCCCATGATGGGGTGGACTTCACACCTGGGCATGAAGTCAGTCACTGCATTCATTGTTTATTAAAATGGGATCGATGATAGCTGAAAGATAAAGCTCAGCACTGGCACTGATACGAACTGGCTGTGATTCTTAAACCTGCAGAGAGGCTGCACACTTCAACTCACCCCTGAAAATCAGGGTTTGTGAAATCCAACTGCAGATGTGAGCACATCTCAACTGGTGCTTATTGTTGGTTCCACTTAAATAAATAATTCATTTGTCTCCGCGGTGGTTGGGGCCTGAATGCCTGTGTCCCCACTGTCTGTGGATCACAGGTATTAAACCTGAGCAGCCACAACCTGTCACTGGAAGGCTGGGCAGCGGTGCGGGCTGCAGCCAGCTGCTGGAAGGCGGGCTTCACCTCGTCCCTCCTCGCCGAGATTCCCACGACCTCCCTGCCCCCGCGCAGGGCTGAGGATACGGCCGAGGCTGCAAATATCTACAATCCTGAATAAATGATCAGGTTTCCCGCAAAGTGTTGTGCACGCAGCCTGCTAAAAGAGAACCCCCTCTTCCTCGACACACGGGGTTGTCACGGAGCCCCCTTGCACATACCCCCCCCCACCCACTGGATGCTAAGGCCAGGCTCCGGAGCCTCGCTGTCCGAACACCGCAGTCTCTACCTGCAGCCGTAACTCTGCTCGATACTGGAGAGGGAAAGAAACCTACCAGCGCCAGACGGTCCCGGCTCCATCCCATTCACTTAGCCGCGCGGGTACAAAGCTAGCTAGTCCGGGGGGGTGCTGTGGCCAAACCGCCGGCCCCTTCAGGCTGGAAGCGTTATCAGACTTCCAGCCCCCTCCTCTCGGCGTGCGGTCGTCTCCCTTCTCGGTGTACCCCCGCCCCCTGCCCCTGCCAGAGCCCCCCCTGGACCCGCAGAGGAGTTGAGGCTAACGGCGGTAGCTGCCAGTCGCTGGCGTGCCCGTTGACCCCGGAGCTGGAGGGCGATAACGGCTGGTTCTTCTTCCTCCTTAGGGGGCAGCGCGCTCCCTCACGCCGCCGTGATTTCACCGATTTCCCGCGACGTGGTGCCTCCCGGTCGGGGTGTTGTGCTCCTGCCGCTCCGCGTCCAGACAGGACCCTCCAGCGGAACAAAAAAAAAAACAGGCCAGCCCCTCACCCCCCAAAATCTGAAACTTCTTCTTTGTCATTAAAAAAGTGCCATGGAACTGTTGATGAACTTGCTGTCACACCCTACAGGCCGAGGCGGGAACTGCACTGCAGATATTTAAGCATGTCTGTGAAGCAGAGGAGCTTTGAGTCAGGGCAGGTTTCCTCTTGTTCGACAGACAGTGAATCTGTGATCATTATTATTATTATTACATTACAGTCCGTGATTGCTTTTTTATTTATTTAATCAGGCAGCCACATTCGGTCACATTGTAATCCAGTGTCAGTGATGGAGAAAGTGCGGTGGCCAGGAGAGCTCGACGTGCTGCACAGATAGAAAAATACACGTGCAAACGCATGCAAGTACAGGAATGCACTGCAACTCGGAAATTAGATCAGTCCTGTATTTTATACACTTGCACTGCTTTTATTTAAACACTGCTTAAAGTTGGACATTTCAGTGAAGTCAGTGAAAGAAGTTGAAAACTCTCATCTGCCCGTTTGTGCTTCCTCAGTTAAAAGATTAAAACTTAGCTCCTTTTACCAAAGGCTGCTGAGAGCTGATGGGAACATTTCACAGCTTGAAAGAGAACTTGGATCTTTTATTCATTTTTTTTGCTGGTAAGTCCTTGAGGTGAGGCCTTTGCAGTTTCTCTCCAAAAGCGTCTTCTTTATTTACTTCTCCATTTCATTAAAAAATTACTATTTATGTTCTGAATCCAGAGAAGTTGAATGCACTTTATGTAAAATACAAGAGTCGCCTTCTTCAACAATGGTTGTTCAATCCACGTTGAGTTTAAAATACAGAGGAGTGTCAGCAGGCTGTCGGCCTGCTCATACAGTATTTGTTACATGTTATTTCAATATAAGAACATGAAACGCTGGAGAAACTTTGCTTTAACGTTGAATCAACTTCATCCACAAAGAAACTTTTCATGATGAATTAACAAACTGTGTAAACACACAGAATTACAAAAGTAGTGAGAAAAGAAAGTCTGAATGATACAATAAAGAGTCCAGAGATCAACTAACAAGACAAAAACACTTTCAGGGATAAACAACAAACAAACTAATCAGTTCAAATCATTCGATTTCACAGACTTTGAGCAGAGTGAATCCTCTTTGAAAAACAAAATCTATCTATCTATCTATCTATCTATCTATCTATCTATCTATCTATCTATCTATCTAT